ACTAAGTATTTATATTGACAAACAAAGTCTAAAGTGAAGTCTAAAAGCATTGATTACTTCAATCTCATATCATCTGAAGGTGAGGAAATATTGTGGAAGTGTATAAATATTTGATTTTATAATTTGCTCCTCATGGCTTTACTTCTTTGTCACAAAACCAAAGTAATTTAAAACTTCCGATGATCCTATACATCCACAACATTATTCCAACAGGAAAAGTTGGAAATATCACTGGATTTATCCAGAGTTGCTTTCCCCATATTATACTGAACTCCCATATCTCTGCATTCAGGAATTAAATGAAAGCTCTGAACTGCCCTTCCCATAGGATCAAATTGTCTCTGCATGCTGATTGGACAATAGAAAATGTCAGTATTAAAATTAAAAGAATGCTTGACAGAAAGAATTTAAACTGAAATAAAATGCTTTCTTTGGAGAGATTTTGTTATTATTTACAATACATACAGTATGTGACTACATGAAGAAATATAGAGAAAACAACCCACTTTATACTAAATACATATATAGACACACACACCTCTCTATTAGCCATTTGCCAGATCACTCAATTATATTCATCATCCTCCAAACAAGTTTGGTGAAAGCTCGTGAAAAGAAAGATACAGTACATATCAACAAGCTTTTCATCCACTTCATAACAATCAAGTTATATATGACTTTTAACTGTGTCAAAGTCAGAAGAGAAGGATCAGATATGTACTCGTCATAGGCACATTTTCCATTTTTTGTCTACTTCTATTTGACTTTTACTGTCGCAAAACATTTATTGCACTCTAGCATTAATGCTGGGAGCTGACAGCCATGCGGGCTGGAAACCTATTTTTGGAAAAATCAGTTGAGATTTTTAGCCATCTCTAAGATGAGTGTACAGTGACCCCATCAGCTAGCAAGCATGACCTACTATTTAGGAATCCCTGGGCTAAGCTGTTCTGGGGACAAATGTCATCCATTTTAGCAGTTCTACAGCACTACATATTGAAAGCCTTCTGTTTGATTTGGTTTTGCTCTCATCTCTGCAGGATAAAGGTTATAAAAAAAGAGAAGCAGCTTTAGTTCCTACAGTTTTGTCTGGGTGTGCGCATGTACACAAAAGGAGTCAAAAGCAGGAGGATTACTTGGTTTCTAGCTCTACCAGTCTTAAGCATTTCCTCCTACTTTAAATAAGCTCTTGTTGGATTTTCTGCTTACTCCTAATGGCTTTGAAAGAATGGATCTGATTTATACTATGGATTTACTGCTGTATTATTTGGAGGAGGGTTTAAAGATGCAATTCAGTAATTCTGTCTTAACAAACCTTGCAGAGTCTTTTGTGTTAAAAAAATCAGCAGTGGAAAGTATCAGATATAAGCATTTAAACCATTTCTTCCCCTCTATAGAGCTCCTTTTGAGTTCTCAGGCAGCATATTGTGGAACCCATTAAATGCCGTCATAAACGTACTGCTTTCCAAATCCTGCCAAATAAAGGCAAATGTTTACAAATCATTTTTGAATGGGTGTATCTTTTTTATATAGATTGCCCGTTGCCATTGGTACTGATTCTATGGTCTGGAAGATTAATGGGCTTTGTAGTTAAGTAGCCCAAGCAGTACATATCCTTCAAATCTGAAAGGAGTCAAGTGTTTCCTTGCTGAATGATTTAGAGCTCTTTCATAGTACATTTGACAACCAGATGGTGCCTCTATTTAGAAATGTTTACAAGATTTAATACACACTAACAAAACTGATCCAATCATATTTCAATGACCTTAAGTCTAATAATATTCAATACTCTGTTACTCTGTTTCATTTAAATAATAGCTCTTTTGTGATTTTTCTTCTTCTTTAATTGGTGTCTATCTTTAGTCTAAGAGGAAATAGGCATATAAAGAAAGTTTAAATGTAAACCCACATTTCAAAAAGTATTATTCTAAGCTTTATTGTATTTGAGCATGCTAGGGACACCATCATAGTGTAGACATCCAATAGGTTGCATGAATGCTTGGAAAACAAGAACTATTTATAAAAAGAAAAAGAAAAAGAAACAGATGATATTTTGGGCAGCTCAGGGCCTATCACAGTACCCTGTAGCCCCATTGCCAGAGAGGCCAACAGCATTATTTGAGGGGCCAAGATGGACATTGCCCTGTTTTCATCTCCTATTAACCATGGACAGTTTTATGCTATTGTTTGAAGCAATAGTTTCTCCCTTGTGTTATCTCAAGTGCTTCCGTTCATTTTGGCTATTGCCCTTCTCTTCCACACAGGCTAATCCAGCAGATCATTGGCTATTTTGCAGAGAAAAGAATACCCTTCAACTGAAGGGTTCCACTGAAGTCATGGAAGTGATGCATGAATATTTCAATTTAGAGCCCTAAAACTGTTTTTTTTTTTTTAAAAAAAGCTCAATTTACACAAACATTTGTGTTTTCCAGGCAGACATTCTCAAAAATAAACAGTAGCTAGGACTTCATTGATACTTATGTACATATCCTATCCTTTGGATTACAAATTAAAAGAAGAAAACACTATTAATCATTTTTGCCACAACATTTCCAATAATCAAGGCAAGTCATCACATTTTCAAAGAGAGAACAACTGAAGCCTTGTACATATGACTCTGTTTTACCTAATATTGCTATTTCAACTGGAAGTCCATCAGATTATTGATAATAATAACCTTTGGGAGAATTCTGGAACATCAGGGAACTAGCAGAGGACTGGAAAAGAGCTGATGTGGTTCCGATCTTCAAAAAAGGGAAAAAAAACAGACCCAGGAAACTACAGACCAATCAGCCTAACATCAATACTCAGAAAGATACTGGACAAGGTAATAAAAAAACAGATCTGCCAATACCTAGAAAAGAGTAAAGTAATAACTAGCAGTCAGCACGGGTTTGTTAAAAACAGATCATGCCAAACCAATCTTATTTCATTCTTCAACATAGTGACTAAATTAGTAGACCAGCGAATACTGTCGACATAATATACTTAGACTTCAGCAAGGCATTCGACAAAGTAGACCACAACCTAGAAAAAAGTGGGATAGATAGCTTCACGACCAGATGGATTCACAACTGGCTGACAAACCATACTTAATGGGTCTAAGTCTACATGGAGAGAAGTAAGCAGTGGGCTATCAGAAGCTTCTGTCTTAGACCCAGTACTCTTCAATATCTTCATAAACGACTTAGACGAGGGAATAGAAAAGGAACTCACCAAATTTGCAGATGATACTAAGATGGCAGGAATAGCTAACAGTCAAGAAGAAAGGCTTAAGATCCAAATGGATCTTGACAGACTTGAACACTGGGCCCTATCTAACAAAATGAAATTCAATGTAGAGAAAAGTAAAGTCTTACACTTAGGAAAGAAAAACCAAAAGCACACATATAAACTGGGGGAAACCAGGCTTAATAGCAATGACTGTGAGAGGGATTTTGGAGTCTTAGTGGACAATCAGCTAAATATGAGCCAGCAGTGTGGAGCGGCAGCTAAAAAAGCCAATGCAATCCTAAATTGCATTAACAGAGGGATACAATCAAGATCAAGTGAGGTACTAATACCACTCTATAAAGCCCTAGTAAGACCACACCTAGAGTACTGCATCCAGTTTTGGTCACCACGATGTTGAGACTCTAGAAAAAGTGCAGAGGAGAGCAACCAGGATGATAAGGAGACTGGAGACAAAAATATATGAAGAACATCAGCTGGGCATGGCTAGTCTAGTGAAGAGAAGGACCAGGGGAGACATGATAGCAGTGTTCCAATATTTGAGGGGCTGCCACAGAGAGGAGGGGGTCAAGCTGTTTTCCAAAGCACCTGAAGGCCAGACAAGGAATAACGGATGGAAACTGACCAAGAAGAGATTCAACCTAAAAATAAGGAGGAACTTTCCGACAGTGAGAAAAATCAACCAATGGAACAGCTTGCTTTCGGAAGTTGTGGGAGCTTCATCACTTGAGACTTTCAAGAAAAGATTGGACTGCCATTTGTCAAAAATGGTATAGGGTCTCCTGCTTGAGTGGGGGGTTGGACTAGATGACCTACAAGGTGCCTTCCAACTCTGTTAATCTGTTAATTGGGAAAGCAATCTAGGTGTAATAATGTACTTTTTAAAGAACTGATACCATTTATGCCTATGCCCCCAGAGTAAAAATGAATAATATTTCCTCTTAAAAATGCTGTAATGATTTTAGTGCACCTGGCATTTCATTCAGTAATTAAAATGATAGTATGTTTACTGTAATTCAACTCCCTTGTGAATGTCTATAACCTCTATTTTTCTTTCTTTATTTGAAAATGAGTGTGGGTGAGAGGAGCTCACTCGAAAGCTTTTTCTCTTTCTTTCCTTAACACATTCTTTGAATTTATGATAAATGACTTGAAGGGAAACAATGCAGCTTTTATTCAGTTTAGTTCAGTACATTTGTTGTCCATTCTTTCCCATCTCACATACCCCATCCTATCTCTTTTCTTAACTTATGGGACCTGAAAACTAGTGTGAACCATTTTTTTTTTGTATATATGTATGTGTGTGTGTGTGTGTGTGTGTGTGTGTGTATGTATGTATATATATATATATATTTAACATTCATGGACTGAGACTTCATTAGTATGTTTGAGATTTTGAAAATTAACAGTAGAAAGCTCAGCTATAAAACTGACTTTGCTATTATAAGTCAGATCTAGATTTAATGCTTAGAGCAGATCCAGTAAAATCAGCATGACATATTATAGCAAAAAGGATTCAAATGAAATAGAATTCAATGGGCATAATTTAAGGATAAGTATATCTGTATCCAATCCCATCTCCATTTCTAAATCACGGTTTGGAGATTTAAGAAAATGTCACAGGCTTTCTCAGACTCTTCAGTGGCTTCTACCATATTCTATTATTTGCATTACTTGTTCATGCTTTAGCTGCAAAAGACTAAAAGCTGCAAAAGACTTAGCTGGCTCTAAAGTCTTAAACGAGAATCTCAAATTATCATTCCAGGTACCTTTGACTCTCAAACAAATGTAATGGCCTTCATTTCAGCATCTCCTTGTTCAAACTCTTCTCTCTTCCTGTTGCTTTGCCCAAATGTATCTGCAGGCTGCAATACAGATTTAAACAGAACTTTCACTGCATAATCATAGTTGCTAACTTGACTTTTTTAAACTACTCCCTGCATGTACACCTATTCTGCAATCTTTTGGGAGACTTGGAAACTCCACCATCTCTATCCCCCAGAGTAAGAAACAGCCTGAAAAGGTCCTATTTAGAAGCAATTAGAGACAATTTTGGCATTCATTTATGGATGAGCTTGAAGACTTCTCTTGCGAAGCATTTCCAGAAAAGTTCAGGTAAGTAAAATGAGTGCAGATTAGGAGGAAAAAGTGTCCCTACAAATCATCCATATAAAAAAAGCATGCAAAAAGGCAGGCCAGATAGAATTTATACATACACACACTTTCCTTCAGTTCTATTTTTTGTGTTTAGCAATTTCATTTGGACATTCCCAAATGTACTATTATAATTACGCAGGATCTAATCTGGATTGGTCACTGGGACCAGACTTTTCTGAGCTTTCCAGCATGATGGGCTCCGGAACGAGTCTGAAATTTCAGAAGTCAAAACCTCTGGTTCTGGTGACCAGCCCAAATTGGATCCTGCAGCATTATCCTGGACACATATTCATCATACATATTATAATTATAAATACAATTTAGACAAAGTGGTTCAAGTATTGGACTAAGATTGGGAAGAACCCATTTTAAGGCTCTTCTTACAAAAGCTTATTTTAAAATCGGATATTCTCCTGACTCCAGGAGAGGGGGTAGATGCAGCTAATAGATAATTCAGTGCAGTCATAAATCCCATTTGTAAATGCAGGAAAGTTTGAGTAAAAGTTGTCTTTCTAATAGTAGTTTGTCTTGTTCAGTAAAGTTTACTGGGAGATGGCAGGAAAGCATTTTGTGAAAGATTGCATCATAAAATTGCCTCAAACTGGTTTTGATAACCATATCTTGAGGACAAAATATAATGCAATATAAAGAGAGAAGTGATTCAGATCAGTCTAGCAAAGAAAATTGTATTTTACCCCCTTGAAGCTAAGCAATCAATATGGGAATCTGCTTCATAAAGTCAGAATGCTTCAAGCATGAAAACGATATGAAGATCATCTAGTCCAACAAGCTGCAGAAAGTCAGAAGCTCTTTCAAAACTGTATGTATATGTGTATGCACAAACTATGCAGTGCCATGAATACCAGCCCTTGGTCTTATGTTATGTGGACCTCAGCTGAATTTTAAAAATCTTGATGAATGGTGAGGTATCAAAAATAAATTGCCTTTTCTCTGACAGCCCAGCAAGTGACAAAAAGGAGAAAGAGAAAGAAAGGAATGCCATAAAAAGACAAAATTCATGTGATTTTTGCTTCTGGCTCCCCTTATTGTTACTTTTGGCTATTCCTAACATTGTTAGGCTTGACAGAAAAGTGATTGCCAAATCTTGGTAAGACATCAGTGAAATATGATAGAGAAACAGATTAAAAGTACAGTAACAGTTATAAAACATTAGCAATGGGGAGGGGGGAATCCTCCTGCAATTGCCTTCAGCCATGGTAGAATACCTGGCTAGAAAACTAACTTCAATAAGTCATTTGAAATGAACTATAGAAAGGTGTCTAAACAACATGAAATGGAAGAATGTTCTGATACAGCATATTGTAGACAATTGCAGATTTTATTTATTTTTGAGTTTTATAATGGCTCAAATAGTATGACTCTGGCAGCATGCAGCATAAAAACAAACACTAAATCAGAAAAGAAAAAAAAACCACCATATAAAAATAAATAAATACAACATATACATACAAAAATAAATACGAAGCACTTTCTATTTTGGAACCAACACATTCAAAGTAATCAAAAGTATTGTCCATCCTCTAAGGAATACACACAGCACAAAATAATTTATACAGGAATATGTACAGCACAAAATAATAATAAGATGGTTTAATGATATCTCTGGACAGAATGTATTTATCTAAATCTATTGATCTTGGTTTGAGATCACAAAATTTTGAGATCTTGTGTTTAAGATCACAAGATGTAAAGATTTAAACCACAAGATATACCATATTTTTCAGAGTATAAGACTGTGAAGTGTTGGATCTAGCTCAATAACTCAAAGACAAGTTCCAGTCTTTTAATCAGTATCTTTATTGCAAACTTGGTGGTACTGGAGGTCATTGACTTTGTACCTTTCTCTTTCAGGTATACATCTGGATCAGCTGGTGGACCTCGTGGTTGGAGCTATTATACCCAGGAGGAAGGGCTAGGAGGTAAGGAGTGGTTACAGGGGTTATGGGATATGTGGTCAGTTAACCCTTGCAGGGCCGGGCGGCCAGGGAGATTTTGCTGTTAGACATTTACCATGACAAAACCCCCTCTAAATGTCTAACTGGGTACTGTGGAGAGGTTATATACATACAGAGAATATACACGCACAAGTATGGATCACATGTAAACACACATTTTTGACATGAGGTACACATGCTGTTTATGTGGCAGGGGTTTAGTGAGAATATCTGCTGTTTGCTCCTCTGTGTCACGGTGTACTGCCTTAATGAAGCCTATCTCTGAAAACTGCCTGACGTGTTTGTACTTAATGTCAATGTGCCTAGATCGTTGACCTACAGCATCGGCCCTTGAGATTTCTATTGCTGCTTTGTTGTCTTCGTGGATGACTATTGGGTATAAGGGTTCAGCCCAAATACTACAGAGCAGGTCATCGAACCACACTAAGTTGTTTGCGGCCTTGGATAGACAAACGAATTCTGCTTCCGTGGTTGATGTGGCCACCAGTTTTTGTTTTCCAGTGTACCAATGGATGGGGCAATTGTTGAGTAGCAGCACGTAGCCGGAGGTGCTTTTTTCTGCTTTTTATGTCCCCGGCCCAATCAGCGTCAGCGTAGCAGGTTAGTTTTGGTTTCTTTGATATTTCTGGCTCTAGGCAGAGTTGGGCATCCGCGCTGAATTTTAGGTATCTAAGCAGTCTTTTGATGGCGTTCCAGTGTGACACTGTGGGTTTGCTTACATGTCTGGACAACAGATTAACGGCTAAAGCGATGTCGGGCCTGGTCCAGTTGGATATATACAGCAGTGACCCTATCGTTGATCTATACAATTTATTGTCGGTGAAGGGTTCAGATTCCTCGTACATAGTCTTCAGGAACTCTGGCTGCATGGGAGTCTTGCTGGGTTTTGCTTCGGACATGTTGCATTTGGACAGCAACTCGATGATCTTTTCTTTCTGGGAGAGGCGAAAACCTTTGTCGGTTTTCATCACTTGGACCCCTAGGTATTTATCGATCTTTCCAAGTGACTTTAGGGAGAAGTGGCTACCCAGCTCAGTGGCGAACTTGTCACATCTGTCCTTGTGTTTGCTGATGTACAAGATATCGTCCACGTAAACGAGCATGCCTTCGAATGTGTTGTTTTCTCTCTTCGTGAAGAAGCATTTGTCAGCTGAAGTGGCTTCGAAACCCATGGATCTGAGGGCCTTGGCTAGGCAATCATACCACCTTTTGCCCGACTGCTTGAGTCCGTACAGGCTTTTGTTCAGCAGCCAGGTCTGGTTCTCGCCCTCGTTGTACCCAGGCGGTGCTTTGACATATATCTCTTTGTCCAGTTCGGTGTGGAGGTATGCTGTTTGTACATCGAATTGGAAGACTTCCAAGTCTAGGATGGTGGCCACCACCAGGGCACTTTTGACACTCTCTGCCCTGACGGTAGGCGAGTAGGTGTCTGTATAGTCTTCAGGGTATCTTTGGGCGAAACCCTGTGCGACCAGTCTTGCCTTGTACAGGACCTTGTTGTCTTCTAATGTCTTAACTCTGAACACCCATTTGGTTCCTATCGGCCTTTTGTCCTCTGGAATTTGGGCAGGTGAGTATACTTGGAGGTTCCTTAGGCTCTCCATCTCTTTCTCCATGGCAGACATCCATTTTTCCTTCTCTTCCTGGGGAGCCCTAGAATGTCTTCATATGAGCTGGGTGTGAAATGGGTGTTGTGGATGACCATGACATAGTCCTCCAGCTTCTTTGGCAGCTTGTTTCTGTTTCCTCTGACTGGCCTGCTGGGGGTTGGTTCGGTTTCCTGCATGTTGTCTGCCTCTTTGTTTGTCAGGTCATCTATCTTCAGGGAGGGGTGCCCTTCTTTCCACTCTCTGACGCTCGCTTTGCGATTGTTGGCTTTATGCTCTCTGACCTCCTTTTTCCCCTGGCCATGTTTGAATGCAACCCTATTGGTGGGGATGTCATTGGAGTGTACCCTTGACCAGTTTGCATTTTCGTGGAAACTGGCAGACCTGGAAACGACAAAACAGTTGTTGTTGTCGACAAATCTGTAGCCCTTTGTGCCTGGTTCGTAACCCACGAATCTCAGTCTTTTTGATAATTTTTCCCCTTCCTTTCTTAGTTGCCTGAGGATGTGGACATTGGCTGGGGCGCCAAATATGTGTAGGTGTGCGATGTTGGGTTTTCTGTTGTTTAGCATCTCGTATGGTGTCTTATTGATAGAGCTTGACCACAGTCTATTCAGGGTGTAATTGGAGTAGTGTAGTGCCTCTGACCAGAAATGCTGCCCCATCCCAGCATCCTCCAGGGCACACCTCATCATCGTTTGCAACACCCCGTTTTTTCTTTCTACGACCCCATTCTGGAAGGGGGAGAAGGGTGAAGAGGTGTAATGCGTTATGCCCTGTTCTCTCAGCCACCTCGCGAATTTCTGAGCCCCTGTCTGTCATTATTTGCCTTATTTTCATATTGTGTTGCATATCTACTCTTTTGTGGAATTCTTTAAACCTTTGGAACACTTCGTTTTTGTGTCTGAGGGAGTAGACATACCCGTATCTGGTGTAGTCATCCACAATCATGAGGAAGAATCGCTTCCTATGCCCCACAGATGGTTTCAATGGTCCTACCAAGTCCATATGCACTAATTGGAAGGGGGACTCTGTGGTTCATTTTGATCCCCTGGGGATGGCCTTAACCTTGATCTTTGAACGCTTACAGATTGAACACTC